TCAAATGAGTGTCGCTTTTCTCCATGTTTTCTCCAGTCGCCTCCAACTAAGGTAGGAGCGGGCCGGAAATGGCTGCCGGGTCTCACTCCACGTTCACTCCAGCACCGAATCAAATGAGTGTCACTTTTCTCCATGTTTTCTCCAGTCACCAGGCGGCATATTCCGACTAGGGTAATGGCGAGCTGTAAGTGGCTGCAATATCATTCTCCATGTTTTCTCCAGCAAAAAATCATCTCCGATTGGAACGCGTGGACAAGGCGGTCGAAGGACTGATCTAGCCGATTTAGGGACTATCTCATTGGCCGGAATTTCCCCAAAACAGTCCCTTTCAGCCGATCGTGTCAAGCGTTCAGCGGTTTCTACGGTTAGCTACGTAGGAAGCTTCGGCTTCTATTATGCCATGCAAAACCCCTTCCGTACTTATTAATATCCTGATACTTTCCCAACTCTTGATTTCTTGTATCTACGTTGCTACTTTCATTGAGCCTCGACTATCTTACATCCATTTTTAAGTTATCTTTAAATTCTACCCACTATCATGGCTGCTTCTATTCTTGATGGTGCTTTTGAATATCCTAGAATTTATGTTGCATTTTCTACTCTTGTCCTTACTCAATCTATATTGAGCTTGCCCAACACTCTAGACTTTGCAAGCATAGTCCTTCGCGTGTGTGTTATACTCCCCATTGTATTGTCTGCAGCCCTTTTAGGCTTGGGGGCAATTGTTAATGAAGGTAAATTCTACTTCATATTTAGGGGCAACAACCTGTAACAATCTAGCAGGCCAAGACGGAATTATATATGCAAAAGTCGTCCTAGACTGGTTAATTACTCTTGTTATTCAGCAACGCGAGGTAGGATACTATTAGCAGGTACGATAATTTATAACTAACTACTATTAGTTGCATCTGATTTATTTAATGGCCATCAGAAGGAACGTGCATAACATGGAAAATTTCAAGACCGCTTCTTGGATGGTAGTAATGGTTAATGTCACCGGATTCGCTTACCAATTATGCGGGTAGGTTGCTTTTAATCGTATCACAGTTATTATTATATACTAACTTTACGGCCGCTTAGTATCTGGTCGAAGCAGCATATTTTGGAAGGAATAGGCTTTTTTGGCTTAAGGATGTCTGGACTATTCTGGATGTTGACCGCTTGGCCGTACGTGTCACATTGGAAATTCAACAGCGAGGAATTCGACAGACGAGGTATAATACTAGTATTTACTAGTCTTGGGGCACTTGCCGGGCTTATAATCGCAATCCAGAATCTGTATAGCGGGTTCACGCCGTTGTTATACTTTAATCAAGTAAGTTATCTCCACCTACTACGGAGAAAATCAACTAATACCTTGAAGATAGAAGTATGGGCCTTGTCTACTGCAACGCTAGGTTGTACACTTTTATATCCAGTTTCGGTTCTCTGGAAAAGGCTCTGTGGGGCGGTCAGACGCTGCTGGTATTGGATTACGGGCAACAAAGGTCTAGGTAGCGATATCGCCTTGGAAGAAGGGGTAACATCAATATCGGCTTTGGATTCGCAAGTTAGCAGTTTGGAAAATTAGAAAATTTTTGGTGCGGGTTTTGTAGTTTTATTTCGTGAAACAATTTCGCCTTGAATATAAATATTTGTCGTGCAGACTATGCGGCCTTGCATACCTACCCTTGCTCTCGAGGCGCGCGGATTTTCAGCTTGTGCAGTTAAGGCGGCGAGCGTTCCTGCTAATCATAGGGACCACGTACTGGGCTGAATGTTGGGCAAACTCTTCATTTCGAAAGTGAGGCTGCATCGCGGTCGCCTTGATGTGGTTCTATCACGGATAAATATTCGTGGTCACCCACCTATGTGGTGTGGAAAAATAATTCTTTTGCCTGCTAGCCGTGGAATTGCCGAAGCTCTGGTCACATGCAATCTCGAGTATCGCTGGTTACTTATTACGGATAAACAACACCACTATTATTACCCCGAAGTACCCCGCACCATGGAGGGGCAGAAGGGTTCTTTACTAGCACGATACGATTCAAGGTACGATAAAAGTTTTAAAATTGCTACTATCGAGAGTTAACATTATAATAGGTACTACTACTTTAACACTTACGCCGTTGCGAACCGTAAACCCGCTTGCCAACAGTACTCCGAAATATTAAACCACGAACCAGCCATGGCTGAGGTCAGTTATTACGCAGATTCCTGTCGCTAGGTAGATTTTTATAACCAGTGAAATAGGGAGATAAAGCTATAGCAGGAATACCGGAGCCTATTATTGGCAAGATATTTCCCGCATCCAACTCTCCAAGAAGAATTGTTGCATCTAGCATCGACTATATTCGGATATATGGGCCAAAAATCGACAAGTGGATGGAAGATGTGGTGGATTTCGAAGATGATGTCCCGCCAGATCACCAGGTTGAGATAATTGGGGGTACAAACGTCAAGTTCCAGGCCGTATAAAATACCCTCGACACATGCCAAGGAGCTCTCGAATGGTGTGGAGGATCGGGCGCGGGGCCACTATGTGAATGCTACCGTCACATTGGATCCGGTGCTGCTGCATGTAGATATTTATAGTGGATGTACTTGGGCATAATTCTTTCCTCTCCTGTTGGTACTGCTCACTTTGTGGTATTCCATCGTATAAGATATCTGCTATCTTGTGAAAGTTCTCGCGGGTAAGGTTCTCGATCGAAGCAGAGCTAAAAATATAATCTCTGATTTTTTCCCCTATAATTAAATATTATTAGAAAGAGTTTGCGGTATATGTTATATACTTACACGACCCCTCTGTAACTTGTCCTTCTGCCATTTTGTCCGCTAGCGACGGACGAGTATTTGGAGGGCGTACACTCTGGCGTAAAATACCCATAAACTTAGTCGCTGTCGGGTTCGTACTCAGGCCCCTTGTAACAATTATGTCCTCGATAAATCTTAATGCAAGTGGATCCACTAATCTATCAGTAACGCTCTGTATAAGCTTGTTTAACGTACTTGCTGGTATCAATGTTGTGATGAAATGTACGAATAAATCGGATTGATCGTAATTTCCTTCTCTGGCCCAGTTTTGAAAAGTCTCTATCGTCGTTTCGTTAAGAATGAATTTGGTCGGTTTGTGAGTATCGATTAGGAGTTGGAGTTTCTTTGTACGACGACAAGCTCGAGGTGATACACATAATGCGAAAGCAATAAAGAAGAAGCAAGATTTGTGCATAGCAGCGCGGTAAAGCTTTTGCGCGCTTATGTTCTGGGAGGTGGTTGTGCTCTTATGCTCTACTAGAAGTTTCCCAAAAGTAAGAGCAAATCGACCCTGTAGAGATTGAGCAGCAATGGCCGAGACCGAGTGTTCGAGTTGAAGATGGTTGGTAGCCTCCGTTATGTCCGTTGATGTTATATCCTTCGTAGTGGTGGCCTTTCGACAAGCCGTTTTACGCTTATAGCGTGTGGGAAGGGGTGTTGTTGACTTTGGTGTTCTGTACATTGGTGATGGTGCCATGCTGGATTCATTAGAGTGTAGAACGACACAAGTGAGGCAGCGATGCTAGAAACGCGAGGTGGGCGAGGTAAATGGCGGCCTTGTTTTAGGCTGAGGAACAATGCCTAAGCCCAATTCGTCTAATGATACATCCCACAGGGGCTGAGACGACACCGGGATGGCGCTTTGAACTGCCACAGAAGGAAATTCCTCACATTTCTTGATTGATCACTGAACTAGTTACACCGACTATCAGGGATTGGCCATAAACAGGGGTCTTTGTTACTGTACCTATGGTGGCTGTCAAGCCTGACTAGGACTGCTCCGACCCGCCCACGATCCGCACAGGCTGATGAATTCTGGGGATGAATCTGTGGCCTGTGCTACTCCTGCGTCGAGGCGTGCAGTGTATACACACTTCATCTCATTCCTCCACGTTAGATTTCGCCCACTTTTCACAGGCCATCTTGTATGTTTCGGCTTTCTAGACAACTACACAATAGTTTATCTTCTGACTTTTATCTCTTCCTCAGTGTCTCTAGCAAGAGCAAAATATGTGGTAGGGGACAGTATTAGTAGGTATTCCAAGCTAGACCCTAAGCGGACCTTATTACTATGTGATATTAATATTGTTGCGCACGGGGACGTTGTATCCGTTTCCGGATAACGGGAGCGCGCGTTAAACGGTGGGAGAAACCCGAAACTCTCATTTCCACCCCCGCCCTTCGTCAGAATCCGACTCCGCGGAAAGCAATTATAGTAATTGGTAGAAGAACTTGGGTTGCCTAAGATACTTAAATGTATGGATTCCTTATGAGATTCCCTCGGTCATTCCCTCCTTATACACTTTACTCCCTTACCAACAAAAATGCAAGAAGCAAACTTTATAAACACAGTAATGCTCTGCTACAACTGCCAAAGGACGGATGTAGTGAGGCTAATGCGAAGTGGGCCCGATACTATTCCTGCGACACAGGAAGCTGAAGTACTTAACGTTGTTTTTGTGTCTTGCGCCTGCTGTCTTTCGCTTCCCCACGTTTACAAACCTGCGGTATCCCTCTTCCCAAAATATGTCGACCCTAAGAGATACGTGGAAGCGCTTCAGTGGCAGAGCTATATTTTTGGTTGCGTGCCTAAGATTTCTCTAGAGACAAAGTTCTCCCTTATGTCATTGAAACTCAAAAAGGTGGCTAGGGTTAGAGACATAGCTGATGTGATTTACGTGCCATACGGGACTCAAAACACCTTGAGGCCTTTCGCATCACTCTCTAATAGGCCGCTCATCTTAGGGGAAATGACAAACGGCACCCCCCCTTCTTGCACTTGTTGCTACTCAGAAGTATGCCATGGACTACCGGGATACGACTCAACTTTGGAAGGAGAAAAGAGAGCAGAGAGCAATTAAGATGAGGTCTGGATCACTTCAAAAGAAATAGCTGGCTATACTTCGTTTTTGGAGAAAGAGAAAGAAACAATGGAATTCGGCGTTGTATTATCTCTTTGTTAAATATAAAACCTACAAACTTCTTACTCTTCAAAATGCTATAAGTCTTAGATGATGAACCTACTGAGTCGATCAACAATATCATCCTCATAGTTAGGATTCACCCCTAAGCAAATCCATAATCATGGTGGTAATCTCATCGATGGGACCGTATACGCGAACTTTCATCCCGGTCACTATATCCACCTCCGTGCTGTACATTCCACCGCCGCATCGGAAGGTGTTTTTATCCGGGGGCCAGAAGGTGATCCTCATTACGAAATAGTCCTTATTCACGTCTCGACCGTCTATTATATCACTATAACTGTTGACTATGCACCCCTCGATGAGTTCAATCATCGTGGCGTCGCCGTCGTCGTAGATATTGTTATCGAAGCTGAACAAGCCGTCCCACCTGAGCATCTCGTAGTTGCGTGCCGTTCTGATGCGGGGTAGGACTCCAGCCCTCGTTCTAAAATTGATCCAGATGTAGTCGATTGTATACCGTCCCGGTGATAAATGTGTCGGTAGGTTCATCACGTCTAAGATAGGGGTGTTGAGGGTGATGTAAACTAATCCTCCAACAGGGGACGAGTCCAGCACTTTGACACGGTCTCTCAGAGGCGGGTCAGGGCATATCGAAGCGGAACAAGATCGCGCTGGTACATGGGGCGTCAGCATGGAGAGGACGATGTCCCTGAAGTCGGGCACCACCTTGAAGCAGTACGAAAGGCTGTCCATGTTTAGGAATTTGACTGAGGTGCTCGACCAACTGGTACATGCTGTCGGCGCCAGTACCACGTCATCAACCCGATGCTGTTTTGGCAACGGTTCTGATAGGAGGTCAGATGCTGCCTGCGAAGCTCGTTCCCGTGGCTTTCCCACCACAGTCTCACTGGAAGATGTTCTCCATGTACATCCACTAGTCGTATGTGACCGTGGGTAGGTCGTTGAAGAATAGTTTGTTCTTGTTCGGGGGCGGGGCTAGAATCGTGATCCCGGAGTTTCGCTCGCGTGTTGTAATGTTAGGTACGTACCTACCGACGGAGCCGCAAGTGGCAAGGCAAGGCAAGATGCGGAGAGTGGACGCATGCCACAAGGTAAGAAGCCGGTCAGATGTGTATGTCTCCGTCTCCCGCAGCGCTTTCCTTCTCTTGTTGGCAGAAGCGAGGAAAAGTAATTCAAGGGCGCTTCGAAGAAGACGAGCATCCCGGCGGGGTGGTGGTGGTCCCAGATTCCCGAAACCTCGGACCAATATAAATAGCGCGGCGTACGATTCTAAGACTCGAGTATTTGTAGTTAGGTACGATGTACTTCGTACACATCTGGGCTGACAGGGTGAGCTGTGCGTATGAGCGCACGAGCACACTTCACAAGCCAATCACCTATGTCTGTAGTGACAATCATGTTCAGTAGCTTGCATTATCATTGGTAGATATAAAAAGATCTTAAACTATTTCCTTCACACTAACAGGTTTTGCTCCTTGAATTCCATCGTCTACGCTCTCTTCTACTTCCTCTAGGGTCCTCAATTTAGCGGAGACCCCGGAATACGACTTCATCAATCGCAGTCGGTCTCCAGCCTTTGGGGTGGCCAATGCTTGCGACTGTCCCGCGCGCCTTCTCCTGTCAACGTGCCTCGCAATTGACCTCGCATCCATCTCAATATCACCAGTATCTTCCTTGATTTTGGAGTGAATACCAGGGTGGACTTTTGGAACATCTTGAGGCTGGAACTCTGTCTCAACGAACTCAACGCCTTGATACTCATCCATTGCCTTGAGAACCGTACTGCGGATTGACGAACTGAATTCAGCATCTCCGCATGCTAGTACGGCTTGTCAGCGAGCTTGTGGTCACCTTTATCTGACTACCATACCTGTGATAATAGTTTTTCCTGGGGATCGTTGGATCTGCTTTGTCATGAGTCCTTCGATGATTGGTATTGCTTCTTCTTCGTAGATAAATGTCCAATGCGCATCGCCAGTAACAGGTGGTGGTTGTGTCTTCTTGTGCGGGTAGAAACACGAGAATGTGAGAATTAGCTATATTCAGTACTCGATTAGCATTAGTTCGTTTGTAGCGGTCTGTTGTAACCTTGCATTTTCGGAATCTTTCGTTTGAAGTTCTGATATCCATTCCGACGACCAGTCTTGTTGAGCATTGTCTTCTAAGATCCAAAACACATCGAGCTTCCTGGTGAGAAGTCCCCGACGGTAAGCCTCATGATCTTTCCCTTTGCTCGTTCGTCGATACGTCATATGCCGGGCATAAGGGATAATACCTGCTATTCCAATTCCCTTGGCGATTAATATAACTGTTTCATAATTTTCCAATTGGAGATCTTTCCCATACGGACCGTCAATAATGACGCTCTGAATAGAGTTCCTCGCAGCTAGCTCGGAGCTTATTCCGTTATGTGGTTGAATCAAAAACGACAAATTCATAGCGCTGAATGAATCATCCCACCAGGTAATTACATAGGGATGAGCTTGGATACGACGGCGAAGTCCCATATCAGACAGAAATAGATAGAGATACTGACCAGGGCGAATTCGTAACGGCCGCCTCAACCGCACAGTCATTGCTATAGCACCGACAACGTCTTCACCCTTGCTTTCGAAGAAGTGGGTGATGCTTGCCTGCCCTGCTCGAAAAGGCATCTTACCCCCCAGGTTATAGTATGCCATTCTAGTCAGCCTCAAAATATTGTTGATTACCCAGACTAAAAGCGCTACAATTGGGAATATTGATTTGCCAATCTCGGTATATGGAAGGTGTTTGAGCAGGGCAAGGACAGTAATAAGAGCTAAGAAAAGATGAACCTTCAAGAAAATCTCGAACATCAGTTTTCGCATGCAGTATATAGATAGTAGTAATATAAGGGCAAGTGCAGAAATAGACTAAATCTGATAGTCAATATTCAGGTATAAGGCTTAGATCGTGCAGACTCGCCGAAAGCCCATATATCTGGGATGAATCAAACGTCCACGGTTTCCCAGAAACAATGACCATTGCAACGTGAACAAGCCCTTGTATAATCACGACCCGGCCGATCCAGTGATGTGCCAAGTAGTAAGTATGCAGAGAGACGCCTAAGAAATTCGCTAGAATACTAGTTCGTCCCCCCAAAAAGAGTGGGATCAAGTTGATTGAGGCCATGGTGCCTGATCGAATAAGAAGGTCTGATGCGCTTCGGACGCCGAGACCCATACAGAAGCCATTCACCACGAAGTAGCTTCCGGCCAGTAGTGCTTGAAGTCGAGAGACTCCAAGCCAGTACTTGCGGTCGATGAACATCGGATACACAACATGCTTCAAGGCAAATAGTTTAAATCGGGCAACAAGAAATGCGGTGGTAACCAGACCAATGACATAGGTTAAAAGAAATGCAAATATGATTGCGATAGACACGGCATACCACTGAGTAAGGTTCATGGTGAAATTGACTGCTATGGTATAATTTTAAAGAGGTAGAGATGGTAGGATAATCATATTTAACAGCGCAGTACTAGCAATTTGCGTGTCAACAAAATTCCGGGAAACGAACTTTGCCTCACATGCAGAACCCGAATATTAAAAGGCGGGTAAACACGCGATCACAGGCGCGCGCATCGAGATCCCAAAATAGGTCAAGCCCTGCACGGTGACATCTAACCTACTTATTATGGCACTCTAATTGACCAAGGTAGCGCTTATGCATGCCCCGCGTACTCGAGTATGCCAATCAGCTCTATACTTTGGCCACCCACAAGCGCGCGATATTTACTCCGTAGGCAAGATATGGTTGGTCGGCCGGAACGCTGCGCTTGCGGCAACTCTGAATACAAAAGAGTCTGAGAACCGCCGTCAATGGGGTTTCAAGTTTCACACGGTTTTCATCCTCATTAGGTATTTCAATTGCTATTAAACTCGCCAATATGCCAGACAGACACGTTATCTCCAGGGGCGGAGGATATAACAATCGAGGTCGTTCTCGAGGCGTCGTTAGTTAATTCGCAAGTGCTGGCTGAGCTGGAGCTAACGGAAAGACAAAGAAACCCCCATTCTCAATTGCCTACGACGGCAGGCGCGAAACCTTAAGGAAATTGAACGACCGCGCAGAAACTATCATGAAGAAGTGCTACGGGCTTCGCGACGTTAGTTCAACCGGGCTTGTTATTGATTTGATTATCCGGGATGGCGAGGAGGGCTGTTGTTATAGATCAGACTCATGGACACCCATGCCCCTTCCCGATGTAAGTATTTGTTGGAAGCCTATTTGCACACTGCTGACATGCTTGATAAGAATGTGCGGATGTACGGACCGGGGGACTTTATGACAATCAATGAGGCCCGCGACGCCGTTCGTGCTAGGCCCGGGCACACTGTGGAAGATAGAAGCGACAATGAAAGCCCAGGCACACTTTCAACACAGGCCAGTATCGGTACATCAGAACCACGACCACGTACGCCAACATCTAAACTACCTGCTGGTACAGCTAGTCAATCAACATCAACTCTCCACGATATGCCAATTTTTGGTACCCCGGATCTGTCGGTGTTACACAATCCCTCGTCAATTCAACAGGAGGGCCGCGCAACTCCAAGCTTATACACAGGATCAACATGTACACCTGAACAGTCTGCTAGCTGGCCACAATCTTCATGTTTTGTTAAATCGGAGGACTCGAATGAGAGTCTCAATCTTTATCAAGGCTTACAGCTTGGGGGTCTCTTGGGCGATCTCGTGGATTCGAATAAGGACGACGGAAAGGGCGATCTAGAAGTCAAATTTGAGAGAAGTCAACCTTCATTTCTCTCCTTCGTGCCATCATTTAAAAGCTCAGAAGTCAAGCCATTCCCATCTGTTCCAGCACGCGCCCGTGTTCCACAGAAAAGGGCATCGGATGTGGAATTTCTGTCCGACATCCGTTCTCCTAAAAGGATGCATCGCTAGCCGATTAGCTTTAAGTAGCGTATATTATTGTAATTCTACCGTTTTCAGATGTTTTTTCGCTCTGTTGGTCGTGGCCTCGAGCATCAAGATAAAGGTTGGCAGTGCTCATTGCTTATGCGTTTAAGGAGATTATACGATTAAATAATAGTTATTAATATATTACAACTCTTTTCAGGGTTTATACAATTAAAAGGAATTTCTTTTCGTCTCTGTTCCTTATAGTCTTTGATTTTCCTTTAGCTATAAATAAATGATAGCCTTGATGCCAAGTCGAATAGCATAATTCTCGGAGGTCTTGGATGCGGCCTCCTGCCTGGAACCTCCTAAATTTAGCCTCTGTCATTTTGTTACCGGCTGTAACATGGTGTTCCTTATAACTACGGTCTCATCTACAGAACCTCGCCTTTTTGGGGAAAATGAGACTTCCGCCTGGTGGTCGTCCGCTGATTTATCTCAGACGTCGGCCAAGTAGGCTGGTATTCTAAGTCCAACTCCTCGTGTTTCTCCCCTACTAGTTTGTCCATATATGGAGTTTGCTGTATAGAAGAAATTGAAATTTTTTCACCAGGTAACTTCTGTCTTTTTAATGCTCTCTGTACCTCTTCCTTCCTTATATCCACGGTGTTGTCGACTGGAGGTGACCGCTTAAGGTTGTTGCCGCCAGGCACTACAGTGTGAGCCTGGATGCCCGTTGGTTGAGCTCGTTTATCTCGTCTCTGGCTATGGTATTTTTTGAAGGCTTCCTTCTTCCACTGCTCTACTCCATCAGATCTAACAAGATAATAAAATTTGGAGGGATATTTCATCATTTGATGTATAATATTGCGCCGAGGTACAATATGGCAGGCCTTGTGGGTCGTGGCCACAAACATTACCCAACCCTTGCGACCGTCTTGAAGATACTGTTCTAGATCCTCTGCCGCTTTTGTCATAGACTTTGGCTGCCCATTACGTGCCCATTCAAAAAAGTTTAACTGCACCTGATCCTTGATGAATGCCATATCGATGCTCATTAGGTTGGCAACTTGCTCTATCCTCACTTGACGTGAATCAGGCACTCCTGATTCTCCGCAGTCAGGTATTAACGAGGGGGGGAAAATCTGTTTATTCAGATTCTGCTCTACTTGTATCAGAGACATACCCGGTGTAAATTCTTCACCCTCTGATCCTGATATTTGAGGGGTTGGATTCTGTGTCGTGCTGTCCGCTGCTATGAACTCCTGTTTTCTATTGGCGACCTCCAAGTCTTCCTTATTTATAACTTGTGAAAGGGGCATTATTGACCTGGGGCGGTCTCCTGGCAAATCCTCGAATGATTGTGGGATATGATCATCGACTATTGGTAGCGATACTAATGTAGTGGATAACACCAACGGAGTTTGCGGCTCGAGTTGTGTCTCCGGCGGAGGTTGTACTTCATAAGAATTCATTTGGAAAATGCTAGCAACCTCTGGAATTTCTCTATTAATGATACCCTCGCTTAATTGTACCTGGTTGGCTGTGTTGGAAGGGTCCACATGTTTGTCAGGACTTGTGAAATCTTCAATAATCCTAGCGTTCTCGTTATCTGACCAAAGAGATATGATTGGTGACCTCGACGGTTCTGATGGGAGCTCGATGACAGGTCTTGATGATTGTGTATTTTGTAAAACGTCTGCTATATTGTCCCCTGGGTTCGGCTGGCTTGAGGCAACGCTCGGTGCTTCCTTTTTTAATGGCTCAGGTTGGGCTTCTGTGATTCTACTCGAGGCTTCGATGAATCCTTCAGTGGGTGGCGGGGAATTTTCAACGGGTTCAAAAAGGTAGTCGTCTCGTGGCCCTGTGGTATTGTAGTCAATTCTGTCAATCTGATCAAGAATTATCTGCTCAGTTGCAAGCTTGTCTATGGGTGGAATATGTGAATCAATGTTTACTCTAGCTTGTGAAGATGAAGCATAGTATTGCTGCGGTTCATCAGATACCTCGAACCGGGGTTGAACAACATCAGTTGGGATGGAATTGCTAGAATCGTGGTGCTCCACCTCCATATCCGGAGACAGAAGTGGAGACCGAGCTCGCTCTCGAGGGGTCTGTAACTGAGGCTGAGAGATGCCAACATTTAGATTGCTAGAGTCTTGCCTCACATCATCGCTCACTGCAGCTTGGTGTAAATTAATT